AAAAGATGTTATTGCAAAATAAAAATTTGCAAATTGCATTTAGAAGTTTAGAGTTACATGAACTTCCATCATATCCCAATACCACAAGACATACATGGTCAGTAAAGACGTCTTCAAGTTTAGAGAAGCCTAGGTATATTATATTTGGTTTCCAAACAGCTAGGGATAATAGTGCACGAAAAAGAACTGATGAATTTGATCACTATAAATTAAAAAATCTCAAAGTATTTTTAAACTCTGAATATTATCCTTATAGTGATTTAAATCTCGACTTTGAAAATGGAGATGTCTCTAAAGCTTATGAGATGTTTATGAGGTTTAGAGAGACTTACTATAATACTATCCCAGATCCTATGATTAGTAGGGTTGAGTTTATGAAGAAATATCCACTAATTGTAATAGAGTGTTCTAGACAGAACGAAACTGTGAAGGAAGGAATTGTTGATATTAAATTAGAGATTGAAACTGCAGAAAATGTACCAGCAAATACATCTGCATATTGTTTGATAATACATGATAAAGTGTTTGAGTACAATCCTTTGTCAAATGAGATAAATAAAATGTAAATAAAAGATGAAAAACATTCAACAAGAATTGGTTGACTCTGCAAATCAAATACGAGAAAAATATAGAGCTTTAAAACGTGGCAGGTTTCTAGAGGCTGAAGAGAGGTTTCAAACATTCCAACCTTTAATAGAGCCATTACAAGAATTAAAAAAAATCACATCTATTGGTAAAACAGAGAGGCCTCAAATGGAGATACTCCCAATGACTCCATCTAGAATATCAATGATACCAAGATTACAGCAATCCACTCCACAGAAATTAGATTTTGGTCTTTTAGCATCAGACTATTTAGGAAATTACCTCAGTAAAAGTAGTATGACAGACACTACATATGGTATTAGACGAGAAGCAAATAAATTTTTTATTGGAAATAAGGAAGTTGATATTGCCAATGATGATGTTACAGTTGCAAATAAAACCTACAAGGGGACAAAAGGTTTGTGGCTGTTGTTAACTTTAAAAGAACCTGAGAACTATACTCAAGCTGATTTGCAAAATTATAAAGAGATTTTGGAAGCTACAAATGGACATTTAAAGAGTTACAAAGATGGTGCACCAATTTCAAGTAATAGACATACTAAATATCTTAATATAATTAAACCTCTTTTTAAATCTGTTGGTGAAGGTTTGAGACAAGTGACTGGTAATAAAATAGACTATATTTATTGGGATGATCCTAATGAGCTTGTAGATAGGTTAAGACTTCTTTGGCTAAGTCGCCAAGCCGGTAACTCAGGAGTGGATAATGAAATAGATTCCATTATTGAGGAATTGAGAGAAAGTGGAATTATTTATTAAATAAAAATATGTTTATAGATAAATTTTATCGTTTATATAATCCATATAATAAGCCTGCAGAACCCAGGGCTAGTAGTGAACCTACTTTAAATTTACAAGACGATAGTTGGAATGGTTTAAACCGTAAAATTGGTAATGTTAAAGATGGGGAGTTTGTAGATGATGTATCAACTTTGAGACAGACATTAACTAGAAAAGGTGATGTCTTTTTACAAGGTAAAACTAAATATGAGTTTTTAGAATCTAAGAATAAAAATTTGAATGCTAAAAAACAGAAAATTACTAATGTGGAAAAGGGTGAAAGTTTAGATGATGTGCCCACTTTACAACAGACTTTAATACGAACAGATGGTGGTACATTTGTACAAGACAATAATAATTATGAATTTTTAGAATCAGAGAATGGTGTTTGGAATGCTAAGAAACGGAAAATTACTAATGTAGAAAAGGGTGAAAGTTTAGATGATGTGCCCACTTTACGACAGACTTTAATACGAAAAGAAGATGGTAAATTTATACAAGATGATAATAATTATGAATTTTTAGAATCAGAGAATGGTGTTTGGAATGCTAAGAAACAGAAACTTAGCAATTTGATGGAAGGTACAGATAGTAAAGATGCTGTGAATGTTTCACAAGTTCCAAAAATGGAACCAGGCTATTGGAGTTTTTATAATAAAAGGTTAGTACGTGTTAAACCTGCCATTGATGAAACTGACTGTGTTATAAAAGAACAGACTATAACTTTTGATAAAAAAGAAAAATGTTGGGATGCCAAAAAACAATTTATAAGGAATCTACCAGAGGGGGAACATTCAGATGATATTTGTCTAATGTCACAAGCTATGCATTACGATGGATCAAAATTTGTATATGGAGAAAAAATTTTTAATTTGATGGAATATAATCCTGATTTATTAGTTGCTGACCCCACATCTTTGAGTGGATTTAAGTATATAGATAATAGACCATATATACCAGAAAACTATGTATTTAAAAGAATGGAAGATAATCTATTGATTGGGGCTAATGGTGATGTATTTAGAGTTACAGGAAAGGATGATGTTATAAAAAATGAATAAAATTGCATACGAACTTCATAAGCCTGCAAGAAAGAATTTCATTAGAAGGTCTTTTAAAGTATTGGGTATAAACGAAACCATACAAATAGATTTAATTGATATGCAAAACTATGCTAGAGAAAATTCTGGCAATAAATATATTTTAACTTTAATAGATACATTTTCTAAAAAAGCTTATGCTGCTCCACTAAAGAATAAGACAGGGTTAGTGGTTACAGAAGCCATTAAAACCATTCTACCAAAGGGGGTTAAAAACATTCAATCTGACAATGGAAAAGAATTTTTTAATCAATATTTTAGCAAACTAATGAAAAAATTAAATATTAATCACTATCACACATTTTCTACAACTAAGGCTGCAATTGTGGAGAGGTTTCAGAGAACTTTAAAGAATTGGTTATATAGGGAATTTAGTGCTCAGGGGAGTTATAAATGGTTGGATTTACTTCCAAAGTTAATTCGAAAATATAATAATAAAGTGCATAGATCTATAGGTATGAAGCCTAACCAAGTGAATATTAAGAATAGTAAATATGTGCATGAGAGGTTGACTTCTAAAGTAGTGCAAGTTAAAAAGCCAAGATATAAGGTGGGTGATAGTGTGAGGATTTCCAAGTATAAACATGTTTTTAGTAAAGGTTATACTCCGAATTGGACAGGGGAACTATTTACAATAGCAGAAGTTAAGAATACAAAGCCTGTGACTTATATCTTGAAAGATGAAAATGGCAATATAATCAGAGGGGGCTTCTATACAGAGGAGTTGTTAAAGACCAAGTATAAAGACATGTATTTAGTAGAAAAGGTAATTAGGAGAAGGGGTGATTTATTGTATGTCAAATGGCTTGGGTTCCCAAGTAGCCAGAACTCATGGATTTCCGCAAAGGATGTCCAAGGGAGCGCGCGGTGAGCCGGGAGCGCGCCCGAGTTCGCGTACAAACCTCGCACTGTCAAGTTAATGATTTTGAGAATATACATGTGAATGGATGTGGATTTGAAATAGTAATGAAGTTATTCAGTGGTATTGAACATTTATATAGGAATATATTGGCCGAGAGCTGGATTTTTAAAAAAGTGGTCAAAAAAAGCTCACCATGTTATTCTTATGGGGAAAACGTGCCTAAAGTGTCATGTCTTTCTGGGTTCATCACTACTGATCTTCACACAATTCTAAAATGGACAAGGCGTAAAACAGGACCATTACTATTCTAGGTTCAACCTTTTGATGATTTTTGTTTGTTGCAGTGAGCATGTTGTCCATATTGTGATTGGCCTGACCACGGCTGGCTGCCATCAAAGGCGTGGGGGGATACATTTTATTGTTTTGACAAGAACCCCCCCTCCATCACTACAAATGGAGAAGAATACGAACCCTCTCCTCGGCACAACGAGAAGAAACGCTGTAGTAACCCAAAGAAGAAGAAGATTTATGTTTTTTCTAAATTGTTATGTTTTGGATTTTTCCAAAATAAAAAAGTTCAATGAAAAAAGTAGTTTAAATATAACTGAATGAGTAAAATATGTTACAATAACAAAATCGAACCTTGTTTTACACTTGTAAATATAAATGGGATAAGTGCCTGGAATCGTCATTACAAGCATTGCTTTTAATAAACTTAGGAATTTTGTTATTTTAATGAATTTAATGATGATTGAAGTGTCCAATCGAAATCGATCAGCATTTGTTTAGCAATACATAGTGATATTGAAATGCCACTTAAGACATGCTAGCAGGCTGACACGTGAAAAATCGCTCCGTTAATAAGTTACAGTTTGTGCAGGTATTTTTGAATGCCATCCACTGGATTGTGCATATAAATTAAGTAACCAACGTGGACTTCATGTTAGTGTCTGATTGCACGCAATATATTTTACCCGTATAAAATCGTTATCTGTAGCTGAAATTACGGCTTGAGGTTAGGAGCGTCGTGACCGGCGAAACGGCACACGGAAGATTTCTCAGGTGCCGTTTGACGTCACTAACTGCTGACGTCACTTTGAGGGAACACCATTACCGCAACGATACGGTTTTGAGCCATCGGCTTAGATGGTGTAGTGGATAGCGTGTCGGCCTGATAATCCGAATGTACCGGGTTCGAATCCCACTGGTAGCACCAACTTTTTGTCAACAATTTGTTTCATATCAGCAAGTTTGGTTGGTTTGGTTAGGTTATGACAGTTTAATTTTATAATTAAAAAATTATAAAATTAAATTTTAGGCATTTATAATTCTATTTTATGAACAAAACTATTTTTTAGATTAGTAAACCTACATTAGATTTTTCCATTATCAGCACGTTTGGTTGGTTTGGTTAGGTTATGACAGTTTAATTTAGTAATATAAAAATTATAAAATTGTCTGTTTCCTCAGACGCAGCAGTTAGTGACGTCAGCAGTTAGTGACGTCAAACGGCACCTGAGAAATCTTCCGTGTGCCCCACCGTCGTAACCGGTTGGCTACTAAGATACAACGAATCTTAACATCACTAAAAGTAAATATACAATCACTTGGCTTACATCGTATTTTTGTCGGATGGAATAAAAAAACATATGTTCTTAAAATTGCATTTATTTTGATTCACCATACAGCATTTTCAGGTAAGTTTGGGAATTTTTTTTTGTTTTACTATTGGTTCTTTCACAGGTTCCTTGCACTAAACAGAAACAAGAATTAGATTAGTTTGATGGAGGTATTAAATGTCCATAAAAATTATACTTAAAACAAATATATTTTTATTAGTGACCACACTTAAAGGTGTCAAGGCTGATTAATTTGATACTAATATATTGCTCAATTATCCATGTTTATAGCAAAAGAAGAGTATTGCCTTTTGTTCTCGACTTAAACATTTGTAAATACACTTATAAAACATTTACATCAAACAAGGGGATTTAATTTTACCCAATCAAAATATTTTTAAACAATATTGAGATAGGTTACATTCTAAATAATATTAGTTTAAGACCATTGACTTTGTTAAACAGCTAAAATGCTTTTACATTTAACAATTAATGATCAACGTTAATTTAAAATGAACGAAAGTAAAATAATATTAATTCAAATACAGCATTGATAGTATTCGTAGAGTGAACAGAACAAAGAACAAAATTACTTTAAATATAGAGTGTATAGGATACGTATATGACAGTATTGTATATATGACAGTATTATATATATATAGTATTATATATATGACAGTTTTATATATATGTATTATATATATATGCCAGTATTATATACTGATACACAAAGGTAGAGTAATTAAGTGTTTAGCAAATATCGAACTAGATCTGCGTCCATTGCTCTACAAATCATCATTGAAATCACAGATAAACCCACACTTTTAAGAAAGATGATCTAATTTAAATTAATCACTTAAAATATGAAACTATTGTAAGACTAAATTTGAGCATAGGAAAAATTCTGAAAATCGGTAGTAAAACACTCGACTTATCGTTGTAATTAATTTAGCATTCTGTTAAATTAGTTTAGCCAGTACAAACATTGAATGGAGCAAGAAGTTAGTAAATATTACAAAATATACTATTACATTTTGTATTGATATTCACTTTTACGAATGCCAGAGAAGTAGTTAGTGCCACGAAGAGTGAGGGTCTCTACCCGGATACGGTTTTTCAGGTTCGGCAACCGTCAACTGAACCGAAATAAAACAGAAAAATCGAAATAAATTACTTTAACCTTATTATTTCTAGGATATAGTATTCATATTCATGTAAAACATTAAAATTAACTGAGCACCCTGATATTATTATTCAATTTAGTCAGTTGTTTTAATGTACTGCCTAAATATAATAGCAGCCCTACTACGTGAAAATCAAAAAAATAATATATGTAGCCTACGGCATTATTACGACATATATTACCTTGATTATCTTGATGTCCCTTGATGTAGTGTGTTTAGAAACAAGGCGATTTTATCTTAAATAAATAAATTGTTTTTACATCTAATCAATATCGACGAAATAAAAAAAAAACAGTGGTTAAACACTCGACTTTATTATATAAAAGCCATCATTATGCGTAGTCTAAAGTTTTAATAATTGGTTTCAACCAGTACTAAAATGAACCCTAGCAATAAATTTCCTAAATAGAGTACTACAATAAGTTAACGTGTCATACTTACTTCAACGAATAACATAAAAGTAGCAAACACCACGATGAAAGCTGTTGCGAAATACTTCTGTAATAAATTTTTTATTGTCAAAGCCAGTTTTTATTAATTTCTCAAAAAATAAATAACTATTGACGTTTTACCTCATACAGTTTATGCATTTAACACTTAAACATATTTTTATCTCTTAATTAAACTTTGAAAAGGTATAAAAAACATAATCTAAAACACTTAGTTTTTTTCATTATTTGAATAAAATATAATGTTATACTCAGGAAAACAAATTATAATAATATGAGAATTGTATACCTTTTTCGTAATATTGTAACATTTTTAAATAGAGTCATTCTAAGATTATTAATCTAATATGTTAGTAATATCAGGCAATAAATCAAGATTATACAAAGTCTAACGTACTTTCAAATGAACATCCAATGACTCTTAGATTACAAAAATCAGTTAGTAAAACAATTAAATGTTCGAACCTAAGTACATTAATTTTTTTTCAATATTACAATGTTCTTTTAAAATGAACGTCCTAAATCAATTTTTATTCTGTTAGAAATGCTTTTAATATTTTACTGAAAGTAATAACAACAATAACAAAAGAATATATATATATATGCTTGAATATAGGCCACTAAATCTTTTTATTCTTACCATTTTTGCAATTGTAGTAAATTCTCGGAGCTTACAGTTACAAGTGATATGTATTTATTTTGAATATCAAAATATATTTATATACCTTTTCTTTAACAGTCATAAATCATATCATGTGATCCAATAGTTAATTATTGGTGATAACAAGTAATTAATCCTCTATGCAAAATCATAGCGTTATATTCATTAGTTATGGTTCTTACCTTCGACAATAGCCAACTAAAAGACTTTTTATTTTGATTCTCTCCATTGTGTTAAAGTTGGATTGTAATTGTCATAAGTTAGATCTTCCTTTATAAGTATTGTCACTCGATGTATTTGAAGCAGATTTATTATTGGCTGGCTCTAGCCAAAAAAATATTGACAAAAACATAGAAAAATAATATATCTATGAACAAATTCACAACTTTGTTAAAAATAAATAAATAATTAAATACATTTGTAAAAGTGTTGGGTAACAAGTACAGAACATGTGGTTGAAATTGCATTACTTTAGCTATAGTATTTCTGAGAAAAGTTTGCACCAAAATCTAGAATTTAACATGCGTAGCATCAGACCTTCCGGGTCCCCTTAACTTAACATATAAATTATTTTACCTAACCCGACATGTTAATCTTCCCTATCCCAAGCGTGATGTATACAGCTTATTTACTTCTCGAGTGATGTAAAGTTGAAAAACTTACTCAGTGAGGTAATGAAACCCATTTAAATAACATTGAGTGCTAACTTATAATATATACCTCTATGGAGCCAACGACGTTCAACGCTAGGAATCAGCTGTGCGATTGAATGTTATTACATAAAACACGTTATAACAACCAACGTGTTTAAACGTGTATTAAATCGTTAAATTAGTAGTTTTATTTTTAATATTTACTGCTTTAAAGTATTTTCCTAACCTAGCTTTTGTTTGTGAAAGAACGTTACTGTTAGAAGATGAGTGAAATGGATAATGAAAAATATTGTACGTAACCTCCTGTATATTGTCGGGTCAGGTAAAATCTTTTACGTTACACGTTACGCAAGAGCGTGCTTACAACACTTGGGTGAATTATGCAACTCGCTTCCGCTCGTTGCACAACTTTCACCTACGTGATGTAAAAACGCTCTTACTGCACTTGTAATGTAAATAGCTATTAAGTAATAGGGTCTAGAACAAATAAGCTGACTAGTAACACCTATACGATTTGCTAAACTTATACAAACAAAAATATCTACAAGAAATTGCTCATAATTGTCTTCATCAATACATTTACATAATCTACGAACTCACGAAACATATTTGAGCTTATAAGACATTATATTCGACTTACTTATTAACGATTTACGAAGGATCGCATGTCATGTCTTTCTGATCATTATACAACAAGCATTGTGAGCGCATTTCAATAAAAAAAGTAAAAATGGTTACTAGAGTACAATCACTAAGTACCACCAGTAAAATAATGGATTTACGCGTGTAGTAAAAAAAAGAATAACAGTTTTTAATTGTATTTTTATGGTATAGGCTTATACAGTATTAAAAGTATTTTTTCTTATTTGTAAACCGTCCGTTGGTAGATTTTGAACAGCAGGAGAGGGTGTCATGTCCACCTTCTGATGTATTTATAATATAACTGGCTGCTCCACAACAGCGAGAACCAAAAATAAATCAGTGCTGCATTCTGTCGTTGATCCTTATAACTTTTTAAAATTTTATCCCGTCATAGAACACAACTTTTCTGTAGTTGAGTTAGCTGTCAAAATCATTTGATTCTTATTAAATACCAGTTGTTTCCGTAATTGAAAGTGTGGAAACATGAACATTAAACCCCTATGGTTAAATGTGGAACTTTTTTTAACTATAGCCTAAACTATTAACTTTGACTATCATATTAACTTACACCACTTGAAATCAGTACCGGGATGGTTATTATTGTTACTTTGAACTTTTATTTCTCAACTCTATCATGTATTAAGAGTGCAATATCGAAGTCTGGACTAAGAATCAAACTAGTATATAAGGACAATAAAATTTGCTTTAAACACCAGGACTGGGACTACTTCAAGTCCTACCCAATGTACAACAGTGCTCAATGCCAATGCTCAATGTACCCTCGTAAATTGATGGGCATATCTATAATCGTTTCGTGTTTTGTCGTTAAATTTGTTTCATTGAATGTTTGTAAATCATTCTGACGACACTTCCAGGAGTGGACTATTTTGTAAGCCTATGGCGGAGGAACAGGAGGGTGGAACATACCCCTATTACTATTGACTCAGTTAGGATTAAATCCATATATAAATCCCGTTTTGATAAAACTACATGCCACACCCCATAAACCATTTACATAAAATGTTCTTCGTGACGAGAAACCTTGCGCAATACTATCCATTATTTCCTAAATTGCCCTTAAAGGTCGTAATTCTTTTCTAAGGGAACTTTCCATGTACCTAATGTGAAAAAAAACTCAGCTGTACTCATTGGTTTGTTATTCTTTCAATTTACTGTAATAACTTATTAAAATCTGGTGTAATTATTTGTTTTATTACTGTATTCTGTTTTGTTTATATCATCTTAACTTAACGAATCGATAGTTTTATCAACCGACTTCCCCACTAACAACAAAAGGAGGAGGTTCTCAATTTGTTTGTGACAATGTTTTTTTAATACTTATGAAGACAATGAAAAACAGCTAGTATGTTAAATATTTATTGTTATACACATATTTAATTTTCTCTACATAGTAATTCAAACTATCAGGATTTGTAAATTATTAGTATCATACATATAGCTAAATGCTATAGTGGTAGTAAATAGGCTAAAGTTGTTTAGCAATATGTCATAAAATGACTCAATTTGTCATTGGGCTCCCAAATTACGCTTTCTAAAAAATTTATGACGTTGTACTGGATAGAAAAAAATAACATATTTTGATTATTTTCACGTTTATGTTACAGATATGCATTCTTCGTCACCACAAGTAAGTAAAAACCACTTAGTTCACATAATGTCGTTGGGGGTTGAATGAAAAATAAACTTTTATTTTATTACAGATTTATTTATTTTAATGGTCACAAACTACTTTCAGGTAACATTAGTAACCTTTTATTTTTAACTATTATAGTAGGTTCTGGTTCAGGTTCGCCATTCGTGCACTAAACAGAAACAATAATACATTTAGTTCTTTTTAATTTATTTAACATTCATACAATACATTATTGTTTGCAAAAGGTGAATACTTACCGTGTGTTACCTTGTGTTCACGTGTTTATCATTGGCAAAACACCTATGAACTATACATGATGTCCCGGAACTCTCTACCAATATTTTAGGGCATTGTTCCTGAGTAGGAAACATATTATATTCTAACTGTCCGTAAGTCCTTGGTTACTCACACAGCCACCATTTTGTTTTTTCACTTACCTTTTTTCAATAATAGTAGTTAAAGATACGAAACTAGTAAAGATATGTCTAGTTGCCATAAATTTTTGTGCAAAGTTTCAACTAGAGATAAAAACATTTATGAAAACTAGACAAAGCTCCAAAAAATATAACAATTTTTCAAATTCATAAAACAAAATGGCGGCCATTTAAAATTTTTGTAAAATCAGCGGTTTTTGTGTTATTAAAAAACAATTAATTGCCGCCAATTTGTTATATGAATTTTAAAAATTTTCATTATTTTTTTGTAGTTCACCTAGTTGTCATAAATGTTTGTGCAAAGTTTCAATTTCGTATCTTTTAATTTTTTTTTTTTTAATAAGTGAAGAAAAACTAAAAGGTGGCTGTGTGAGTAACTAAGGACTTACGGACAATACAAATAGGATATTCAGAAATATTTCTTATTCAGAAACAATGCCCTAATATATTAGTAGAGAGTTATGGGACACCCTATATATTTTAAACATGTTGAGTTCATTTAATACCATCACAATATTTTAAAATAGATAACATTGACCTCTATTTCACACAAATCACATGAAATCATCAAATATTTAACGACTTAAAATGATTGTAGGTGAAATTTTGAAAATCAGTAATAAAACGCTCCACTGTATTCGTTTACAAATTTATGATTATATTCATTGACTTCAGCCAGTACTAAGATTAATAAAGCGAGGAGTTAGTAAGTATAACTAAATGTAGTATAACATGTTGTTTAAGTTGCATACTTACATTGACCAATACCAGAGAGGTAGCTAGTGCCGCCAGGAGGAGTGGTTTCCTTTATGCTGCGGCTCAGGTTTGGCAACCGTCAACTGAACAGAAATAAAAAAATGTTACAGACTTTAATTTTTCTAAGATATATATAGTCATGTAGAAGCAAATCAGTAAATAAAGTACCAAAATTAGCTTTTTTATACTTACATCGACGAATGCCAGAACGGAAGCAAGTGCCACGATGACAGCTGATGCGAAAGTCATCTGCAATAAAACATTTAGTTTAATGGACAGTTTCATTAATTGTTCAACAAATATCCATTGATATTTAACCTCATACAGTATGTGCATTTGTTTGGTACTATATTACATAGCACACCTATTTTTTCACATATAAATGTTTACACTTAAAACTATTTTTATCTTTAAATTCAATTTTACGAGAGTTCAAATATACGTAAAAAGCGACTAAAAATTATTTTATCATCATTCATATAGTTTGTAATTGAAAGAAGAAAACTTTATAAAGTACTCATGAAACAAAACAAAAAAAATAATTTTATCTTACATTTTAACGGTACGTAATTTTGTTATCCTGTGATACAGTCCTAACTGTACAGGGTGTCACAAAAGGTTTGTGGTGAGCAATGCAGAACTAGATTTCACATACAAATTAAGTCAAAATGCCTTTAGGGTTTTCTTTATTTTGACCTACTTTTGATTTAATATACCATTTTGTAGTTTTTCATTCAACGACCCTTAATAAATTTTTATGAAAATTCAAAAATATTGTTTTTTAAGTATCCAGCAATAGGTTTTACCGTACTTAATTTAAATCAGTTGTTAGGAACAATTAAGAAAATAAATCCAGTTTAATATGATACCACTGGATATGTTTAAATAGTCCCATTATAGACTGTTACAATAAATACACTATGATTTTAATCTTACCTTTGCAGTTGGTTGGAGTTTACAGTTAGAAGTGATATGTATCCTCTAGAAGTTTACATGTTTATATACCTATTTCAACCGACATAAAACATATCAGGCGATCAAATCGTTAAAAATTAATTGGTGATAACAAGTAAGTAAAACACCATACAATGTAACTAAAAATCAGAGCGTTGTATTCATTAGTTATGGTTATTAACATTTGACAAAAGGTAATTAAATTTCTGTCATTCTGTTTTCTCTCAACTTATAAATCATATTACTTAAGATTTAAGAAGGATTTAACTAAATATTTAATATGTTTCATTTATATCAGGAAAATGTATCATGCAAAAAAGGATTTACTGATATCGTTAAATGTACAAGACACCAAGTTCGATATCTTGTGTCCATATAATCATCGAATTATATTTTAAGTTATAAAACCTAAAAATATAAATAAAATAAAACAACCATTTTGTCAAACTACTAGAGTCACTGTTTTTTGTTGACTTAATAGTAAAACAACCTTAGCCTCTTGATCGAAAAACATGTGTTTAAAAAAAACACAACTTAAAGTTTATTTAAGAATAAGTCCGTTGTCGATCAGCACAACAATCAACACGGCTGCTTTATTAGTTATTACCAAACTGTTTGAGTTAGTGAATGCAGGGTTACCATAAAAAATCATTCATTCCTCTTATTGTTTTACAAACATTTAAAACCCCACTATTTGTATTATGAAATACCCTATATATAGGGAAAACTGTTCGTGCTTTTCAAACATAATATACAGAACACCGGCCAGATCCTAATCCCCATGAACAAAAATCTGCGTTAGCTTAACAGCTTTTAGATTTTTATCACTCAATTAGTGATGTTAAGACCGGCCTGGAAATTCTACATTATTGCAGGAAAGGTACATTAAACACACTCAAGGAGAATGAGATATATAAAATGAACAAAGACGAAGAATGAAAAAAATACACCAAATTACAGTTCCAGTTCCACTCCCTCTTCAACACAATTATCTAATCTGATACAACTGACCACCGAGCTGACAACAGAGAATAGATACGTGAAAGGCGCAACGAAACAAAATGTACACAATAAAAATGTGTATACGAAACATTATATTGACTTGATATAATCTTACGTTTGTGGAATTTTAAATTGAAGGAAAACTTCAAAATCGGGAAATTAGTAGTGGGGAATTTTTTTTACCTGATCAGTCAATGAACCAGTGGTATATCCATAGTAAAATATCCTCAAAATTTGTGAAAGTTTTTAATGATTCAAACCATTTGTGCAAAAATAATAAATTATCTTTTATTGTCTGTTGTCAAAATAATTGTGTTATTGATTTACCGCACGGTCTGATTTTTATATATCCTAAATAATTATTACATTCATTTAATTTGTAACACAATGCATAATTATTACTGCTCATTAATTACTTTTTGATTAAGTGATGTATTTAATGATAATTAAAAAAAAACGTATAAATATTTAACCACCACAAGACATGTGTTATCGCTTACAACTAAGAGCTTCTAGTATCTCGTTCAACACTAATAAAGGTAAATTATGATTTACTTTAGCATAGGATGATTTGATCCTTTACAATAGCATATTTTAGCATGTACCTATAGCAATCTAATATTTAGACGAGATTGTTATAGAAACACATTTATATATAATAGATGTGGGGTGACTTTTTTGGGAACACGTTGGGCAGATGTCACCTATGGGGAATGGCCCATATAAGTTGACAATCTTAAAGTTAGGCATAGGTTGTTGATATGTACCTTAAATTTAAAGTCATATTGAACTAAAAACAATGCCGCAAACTGGACTTCAAGTGGACAACTGAGTCTAAAATGGCAGCCGAACAAAGATTTATTAAATCTGCTATTTTGAGTTTATTAACGACTGCCTTTTTCCAAGTTGTTCTTTTGAACTCAATGCAGCATTTTTTTCTATTTATAAGAACCTTTAATTTATTATGCATATCTACCTAGGGGGGCCACCAGTTGACCGACAAGATACTTGGTCGTTTTGCCACTAGACCGTCTTTTTAAATTAAATAGATAAATACTGAAAACCAGTACGTCGACAAGTTATTTCATCGTCAGTCCAGTTGACCGGCCTGTAAAACTAAATTATTATATACGAGAAACCAACTTGTCGTCAATCGACCCGGCCGACATACCACTTGCTCGTCTTTTAGGTGGGGATGTGTTGAGCAGCAGTGCCAGCGGCGCGCGCAGCTGTGGAGGGCGCTGTAGGCGTACCAACTTCTGTATCTTGTAGCGGCGGTTTTTATTCCGACGATTTCCAGCTATCACAATGCAGCGGACTAGTGAGGTTTTTTATTACGTGTAATTGTTTGTTTCTCAATAGATATTTGTTTATATACAGTGCAGTGAATATAAATATGCCTATATTAATTTACTTCAATTAAATACACGTTTTTTAGCTACTACATTTAAATTATTTAAGAATTACATGAAATCTAGAAAACTAGAGTACCGTTCAAATCATTTTCTGTATTTACTGGATTAGTGAGAGTGTCTTTGGCTATAAAAACATGGCTTCGCTTCTTTGAAAACAAAATAACGAACTATCAAGACACAATTTTGTTCGATTTTTGTCAAATTTTCTTTCAATGTTTACTATTACATTTTATGAAATAACGATCAGCTGTTTGGATTAGTTCCCACTTCTAGCTGTCACTGATATGTTTACATTAAATACTGTTTACAAATACAGTACCGCAACCATTTCCGATCAAGTTTTGTAAGCACATCCAAACTAAGTGAGATTAAAAACGTTGTGCCTTACTTAATCGGTTTAATTAATCGCAAGTGCAACGATTGTACTTGAGTTTTGATACCCAAGGAAAAGACCGTGAATCAGTGTTGTATAGTCCTGGGAAACTTATATTTTTTTTTTTAAATCGTCACCAATAGCTTACAAAAAGGTTTCCACTCATTGACTGCGTTTCAAGGACAGTTGTGTAAAATGCAAAGTATAAAAACACAACTGCAAGGGTGATCGTGGATGTTGCTGTGATCTTTCTGATTTCGCTGTGATCGTAACAGAGGTTTAACTTACAGATGTAGTTAAACTCGCTTTTCCAATGTGTCACTTTTAAATTCTTCTTACCTCTTTGTGCTGCAATCGCTGGACCATACCGCAAATCTTGGCACATAGCCCATCTCTTGGGCAGGCCCTACGTAGGCCGAATTATTCACAACCAAATTTCGACAACGATATCGGTACTTTTAGAATACATAGCCTTCCTACTTAGTAAGTAAAACTACAAACGTCCAAAACCCCAGATTTGTGCGTTTTTTGTCACATCTCCTCCGAATGTTTCCTTGATATACCGATCTACGTTAGGTTTAAAGATTACGTAATCTTTTAAATAAGAAACCTTTGGTTGGATAAAGGTGGTTTCTTCAAACTGTCATTAATATGTTAACATTAAAAGTTGCTTACAAATAATGCTATTAATGGGAAATAACTTAGATTTTCGAAAACTTAAAAAAAACCAAGGGAGATTAATAACTTCGGTACTGATACCACATCAAGTGAAAGATTTTTTGAGCAAACCATCATGAAATTTAAAGCTTTACGTTGTTAACGTATCAATGTTTTGTCCCCTGTGTATTTATTTATTATTTGCCAACGGATTAACACCAATAATACAGTTTGATTAGAAGGGCAGTTGGAATTGGTCGTAAGTACTAATAGTTCTTTTCTTAACTGTAAACGTTGGTTTTTGGTACTGGTACTTTTTCTTAGAACCTGTGGTAGCAGTAAGAATCATTTTTACGTACAAACACTTCCCTATTTACAACTTTGTTATCTTTAGTGCTGCACCTTATTGCTTTTTAAGTTTAATTGATGTCTTACTGTATATTTTTTGGGATTTCTGTCTGGACTCAAAAATATTAGTTCAGCTATGAAAGTAATAACACATTAGTGAAAGATTTTTTCAGCAAACCATCATGAATTTTTAAAGCTTTACGTTGTTAACGTATCAATGTTTTGTGGACTGTGTATTTATTTACTTATTTATATATTTGCCAACGGATTTACAAAAATTTTACAGTTTGATTAGGCCTAAATACGATTATCATAAAATTTGATGACACTGTCAAAACTTTCAAATAATTATTTTGTTTGTAAATTGCTTTGGCTAAAGCGTAGCAAATCACCTAATTCAATTCTGCATTTGTGTGTGTATGTCTGTTGGTAACGCATTAATGTCCTTATTTTTTTGTGTTTCGTGGAAAAGACAAGAGTGCCTTCGTTAATGAACATTTCACCCCGAATAAAGTGTACAGTAGTGAGGTTGAGGTAGTATTTTAACTACTTTTAACCAGTGTGAAAAGTAACTTCCAATTACAGGCCTACCTTAGGGCTATGCCTCATAGATCTATAAAGCAATTATTTTTATCATTAGATATAAAATAAGGACTAACACGATGGGGTGACTTTTATTTGCGAAGCATTCATTTTGGCTTGAAACTGTCAGATATTGTATTTGCGAAGGTTTATATGTATTCCTATACAAAAATAGTATTTTCCAGCATATCTGGAAAAATGCACTCTAAATTTGCAAACAAACTCCTGTTCTGAATATAAGAAGGTTTCAACTTACTACAAGATTCCTGTACGTAGAACGGTACTCTGCTAGTATAAAATAAAATCGCTGTTTGTATAAATAAATGACGTATACAACTGTAATAGATCGTTAATCAGAAATGTGTAAACCAGTTTAGAAGTATATTAAATAAATAGCAGAGCATATATACAATTCTAATAAATCACTTATAATTCATTAATTACAAACCAAAAAACATACTATAGATTAAAGCAAATTAATTTGTCCCTATAATAATTAAATAGATATCCTTATATATAATACGTGAAGGCGATTTATACGAAACACTACTCCTCCGATAATAATCGACGGAGTTTTACAAATGATGTGTCAAAATTAAGTATTTTTTATGTAGACGCCCCCTTTCACCAATTCCAGCAATAAAAGTCCTCGGGCTTTGCCCCACAGACCATCT